GCTTCCACAAACATTGTACCTTTTGATATTTTTACCAGCAGTACAAGAAAGTATCCATTTCATCTCTACATTGCTGGATATAATAATTTAAAAAAAGAAAAAGAAAACTATGAATTTGATAATTATTTGTTGCTAGATTAATTTGCATGTCATTCATTGTTAGTAATATCCAACGTGGCTTATTTATTGTTCTGCTTATCTTTCTTTAATGAGCCACTTGTTCACATTCCTTTCCAATTTGTTGTGGGAGTGTACATCTCTTTTTTATTAATTTTTCAGCATTTGTGCATTAAAGATATTAACTCTATGAAGAAAGGTGGAATATTTGAAAGGGAAATCAATGAATCGTAGTGGGAGTGATAAAATGTTTGCAGAGCCATTTATTTACTTGCAAAGCCCAAAGTCAGATAATGGACTCACTTCTGTAATCCTGTGACATGTACACACATATCATGTTTCTTTTGTCTCCATTCATAACATTTTGTACACTCATCAAATTTTTTATATAGTGAGGTTTAGAAATTACTCTTCTTATGATTAGAATTTCTGCTATTTAACATAAACCAAACCCATTGCCATCCAGTGAATTCCTCCGCATAGCTACTTAACATAATCTTTTATTTCTTCTCCTGGAGATAAACCCATGATGCAGATTATCTGCAGATTGAGAGCTGCCTGTTGGCCTGGTGTACCTTCCACACTGGTATTGAACTGTTGTTTGGGGCAGCAGAAAAGTAGGCTTTGGTGCTAGTCACTTGTGAATATTTTTTCTGTCTCAGTGCAGATTAATTGTGCTTCTTTTCTGCTGCTTTGAGGATAGTAGGGGCAGTGAATAGCTTTCTTACTGCCCGTTCAGCAGGTATTCTGTATTTTTAATATGCTTAGCAAAAATGCCCTTTTTTCTGAGCACCAAAAGACACAATTGCCGATGCAGTAATAGGCAAAATAAGAACTGATAAGTCGCATTGATGGGAAAATTCATCTGAGTGTGCATACATGTAGGTGCTTATGTGACGTGATCGTGCATAAACAAATGGTTTGAAGGACAAGTTAAAGAAAATACATTTATTGCATTTCTGTAGAACTTGACTCCCCAAGAAATGGTTGATAAAGAAGGCAAAAAATTTGGGCTGAATAACAACAAAGGCGATAGAAAACTAGCTTCTACTTTATGTCGACATGTAAGGATCTGAATATGAGTATGACTTTGTGCAAGTTCGCTGTGATGCAGCATTTCAAGTTGTGGGGTTTTAAACATTTTATTGTAAAATATATAGAAAAAAATTGCTGTATTAAGCATTTGTGAGTGTACAATTCACTGACATTAATTACGTTCACCATGTTGTACAACCATCACTACTATCTATTTCTAAGAGTTTTTCATGGCCTCACACAGAAGCCTGGTACCCCTTCAGCCGTTACCTTCCTGTTCCTCCCTCCCCCCAGCTGATGGTATCCACTAATAAACTTTTGTCTTCATGCATTTGCCTATATTAGATACTTCATATAAATGGGATCAAATTGTTTCTGAAAACCAAATTTTTCAACATTTTACTTCCAGAGAATGAAGTTCTAAAGCTGGCATTAATTTTCATCTTAGGTCAAGAGCCAAATGGATTAATAATGAAATATCAAATGGAAAGTACAATCTCACTAGGATGTTTTTAATGATGATAATGACTGAAGACTTGATGGACAGAGCTGAAAAAAAAAATATGCCTATCTTGTAGTTTTCTTAAATGAAAGTCTCTCATGGAGAATATACTCTCTTTTAAGATAGATTCAGAGTAGGGCATGTCAGGAAATGATTCCAACTAAGTTAAAAATTTTCTTCATGTTTTTCAGTCAGCTTATCTGCATTTTCAAGTGGAAAAAATGCAAATTTTAAACCTTAGTGAAACTGAAAATGTCAAAATCAGTAAAAATTAAAAAGCCAAGCTGAAGATGGAAATCAGTAAATGACAATTAAGAAACTTCCATATTTGGGGCAAATATATGTAATGAACGATTAGACCTAAATGTGTCTACTTAAGGGGCAGTTGTACTCTGTCCTGTAGGGTTGCTTTGAGTTGAAATTGACTCAGTGGCAATGGGTTTTGGTTTTTGGTGTCTACCTAAGGACTAGCTTTGGTTTCTGTGTCTTTGCTAATGCATTGTTTTCCAAGAATATAAACACTGATTGATAAAGCAAATTTTATCTTTCAGTTACTTCAGATTGTAAAGTAGAAGAGGACTATGGTGTTTTTTGATGCTATGGATACTATTTTGAATTTCAAATAAAAAAAAATTACCTGTGCATTATGTTTGTATAATGGATTTTATACTGAGGTGACTCTCTCCATTCTCACAAAGCCATTATTTAATAGACTCTTCAATTGTTTCGAACCATATGTATAAAAATAAAAGTTGAGATGAATTTAGTGTTTATAGATCATTACAAGGATGCAAAGATACTTTTGCATACTAAATATGTGAGTGTACTTTTGATGTGGGTATTTGATGTTACTTCTCTCCACTGCAGAGCCCTGGTGGCGCAGTGGTTAAGTGTTCGGCTGCTAACCAAAAGGTTGGTAGTTCGAATCCACCAGCTGCTCCTTGGAAACCCTACGGGGCAGTTCTGCTCTGTCCTTTAGAGTTGCTATGAGTTGGAATTGACTGGACGCAATGGGTTTTATGGGTCTCTCCAATACATTGGTTTGATTTGAAATGTAATTATTTTCTGGGAATGTTGTAAATATAAGAGAGTTCTTATGGTGAGCAGGCTCAGGCTTTGTCTTGACTTTGATACTGAAATGTGTTTACTTTGCAGAGTTAACATAGCTATTGCCCTGTATCTTTTCAACTTGTTCTTTTTTTTGTTGTAGTCTTTTTTATATAATTTCCATGTTAGCAATTTAATTTTATTTCATGGAAATGTACATTGTCCTGATAACTACAAAACAGTCTTTTGAGATGGAATAAAGAATGTATGCCCATAAAATGTCAACCTTGTGTACTAATTAGAAATGTCACTTTAAAAATAACATTATTATGGATTTTTAAATTTAAAAATAGTATATCACTTGTATTATCATCTGAAAGAGTAGTCTATTGTTGATAAATCCTACACTTCCAGACATTATTTCCATCTAATTGAGACATCTGATTGAAGCATCTCAGATTCCATCTGAGATTGTCTCCAACTTCCTTTAAAAATCATTTTATCATTATTATATTAATTTTGATTCTAATTTAAAAATTTCAAAAATTTGATTGGATGCAAAGAAACAAATGGCAGTCTACTCATATTTCCATCTGTCTGCAGTAGGTTATATTTATATGTACTGTTGACGATTCTTCAAAAATTAGATTTTTAAAAGATACATTATATTCTAGCTTAGCTATATTCCATTATATATATAAGCATTCCTCAGGTGCAATTTGACAATTACAGCTTGAATGAGTGGATCCTGGCAAAGTATTTTAATAGTGCGAAAAGAGAAGTAGGTTGTAGAAGTAGATGAGGGCTCGGCTTGTCATTTGAGGAGCCTGTGCCACATGTTTCTTACATATGTGGTTGGAAATGAGCTCCTGTCTTACTGATTTGGAGATGATCAGTGTTGAGGTGGTGGTTGAAGTCTTGACAGTGGATGTAATTGCTGAAGAGTTCAGAAGGTAGATAGACTGCTTCTTTTTCTAGGGTAGAATGTTTCTTAATGACAATACACCGTGTCACTCCAACTTAATCAGAGTATATATTAAGCTTTCCTTTCTTCCTCTCTGTTTTAAATGATAGGCAAGAGTGTGTGTATCATAAATGCATTGCATTTTAAAATAATCCTCTTAAGAATTTGGTGACTTGAGATTATGAAAACAAAGCTTGCATATACAACTAATTAATTAAACAACAGTGTTTGAATGATAGTCACTATCTGTGTTATGTATGATACAGTATTGTGGAAATTTTTTCTCTAATGTTGTTGATCTGCACTTTATCCCACAGATGTTGAAGGTTAAACTTTTTAGTAGCTCTCTGAACATGAATACTTCCTTCTTTTGACTTTGTGTCATCAGGATTTCTTATTGCTTGTGAATGAAAAAGATACACCATTAGTGAACATTAAACTATGAATAACATTGAAAATTCCTAATTAAAAAAGGACAAATGAGTTATTATATTTATTTGTTTTGATTTTAGTGTTACTGTTTGCTTCCTGTGGTTTAGAGCATGTAAACAGCACCTCCTTCCAAAAAAAAACACAAGTATATAGATCTACTCAGTCTTTCCATTACATTGTTTTCCTATTTTTCTTATGATCTGGTTTTGGTTTTCTCATGGATTGAATTATGTTCCCCCAAAAATGTGTGTTTAGTTTGGTTGGGCCACGATTCCCAGTATTGTGTGATTTTCCTATGTGTTGTAAATCCTGCCTCTATGATGTTAATGAGGGAGGATGGGCAGCAGTTTTGTTAGTGAGGCAGGACTCTATCTACAAGATTGGATTATATCCTGAGGCAATCTCTTGAGATATAAAAGAGAAGGGAGCAGAGAGACAGGGGGACCTCATACCACTAAGAAAGCAGTGCCAAGAGCAGAGCGTGTTGTTTGGACCCGGATCCCTGCGCAGAGAAGCTCCTAGTCCGGGGGAACATTGATGAGAAGGCCGACAGAGACAAAAAGCATTTCCCTGGAGCTGATACCCTGAATTTGGACTTTTAGCCTACTTTACTGTGAAGAAATAAATTTCTCTTTGTTAAAGCCATCCACTTGTATTTCTGTTGTAGCAGCACTAGATAACTAATACAGGTTTGTTTCTGTATTGAAACAAGTGATGCATAAAAATATTAACATCCGATTCAGGAATCATCTGGAGGAGGTGCAAATGTACTGTTATCATGTAACTTTGGTGGAAATACTATGCCTGTTATGATTAAAGAACTGCTTATTAATGGCCTTTGAAAATAACTGTGAGAAACAAACATTGAAATATAATGTGCTGTGCAATTTTGTTCTCTGTTAGAAAGCAGAAGACGAGGATATTGTTCTCACACCCGATGGCACCAGGGAATTTTTGACGTTTGAAGTTCCACTTAATGATTCAGGATCGGCTGGTCTTGGTGTTAGTGTCAAAGGGAACCGGTCCAAAGAGAACCATGCAGACTTGGGAATCTTTGTCAAGTCCATTATTAATGGAGGAGCAGCATCTAAAGTAAGCACGTGTCAACTTTATGAATTGTATATCTGCTAACAAAATCATTTTCATTTCAGCTCTATTCCTATTTTGGAAATGTATACATTTAACAAATGTTTTCTGATTTCTTCACAATACTCCATAATCAAATAGCTAGGAGAAATCCTAGTGATGTGTCATTTTGGGATGAAGTCCATAATTTCATCTCTTCATTTTTTAATCTTACACAAACTTCAACTCATGCTCATTCTAGTTAAATGGAGATAATCTGTGCAAAGCCTTAGTCTAGGTCCCGGCACAAAGTGTGTATACAGTAAAGGCTCATTTTCCCCCCCCTTCTTCCCTCCGATTGGGTTCCTGTATCCTATTTAACATGCTAGAGAAAATTTTCTGGCTGTTTGGTTTGGGGACACTTTTCTGCAATTGTCTAATGGCCTTGAGCTTTTCCAGGTCTTGGATTGTAAATAATCTCTATGGGGGTCTCTGGAAGGGAGAAAGTAATCGCTTTGTGTCCTTTGAATTAGTATGCTATTTTGGTAAACAGATTATGATAATGACTTGATTTACAAATGTATAAGTGATTGAAATAGACACAGGCTACAATGGCTGCGTAGATGTTATTATGCCAGTGTTCAATTGGGCATAATCCATTAGGATTAAAGGTTTTTTGTTTTGTGTTGTTTTCGTTTTTATTTATTTATTTTTTAATTAAAGGGAAAGCAGCTTGTTTCATAACAGACTATTTCATAGCATTTATTTTTACCTGTTTTCCCAGGACGGAAGGCTTCGGGTGAATGATCAACTGATAGCAGTAAATGGAGAATCCCTGTTGGGCAAGACAAACCAAGATGCTATGGAAACCCTAAGGAGGTCTATGTCCACTGAAGGAAACAAACGTGGAATGATCCAGCTTATTGTAGCGAGGCGAATAAGCAAGTGCAATGAGGTAAAAAATTAAAAAAAGAAAAATCAATACACAGAAGGCACTAACATCTGAAATTTTAGTTAGACTAAGATGCTGTCCTAACAATGGGCAAAGCATGACATGTCCTGGGATTTGACCTCAAATGAGTCTTTAAATTCTCTTTGGTTGCTATAGTTTTATTGTTTTATAAGTGGATTGTGATTTGTTTTCTTAATTCTGTATTCAAAATATTTCTCAATGTATGCTAACATTTTCTATTGCCAGCTCAACAGATGGTACTGGTATCATAAAGGCACCTTTAGCTGGGTTCTGTTCTTGGAAACAGGGCCACACCTTTTTGCTCAACAGTTTCTCTCCTAATCAGCAGTGTTGTACTTTGCAAGTTTCTGTCGATTTAGCACAGACTCATGGTGACCCCATGTGTGTCAGAGTAACACTGTGCTCCATAGGGTTTTCAATGGCTGATTTTTTGGTAGTAGATCTCCAGGCCTTTCTTCCCAGGCACCTTTGGAGGAACTCGAACCTCCAGCATTTTGGTTAACGGCTGATCGTGTTAATCGTTTATACCATCCAGGGATGCCAGTGTTGTACTTCGGAGGTGATAGTCCTGGGGAGAAACAATGAAACAACAACTTGCTTATTCATTTGTTTATCTAAACAGGGATGCCTCTTACAAAATGCTTAATAGGGTTGAGTCTAACTTCTTTACAAGTTAGTGTTCTCTTGTGACACTGTCAGAAGTATAAGGCTCCCTTCTGTCCCTCCCCACCCACTATACCCCCATTCTCCTTCATATGTGGTGGAGGAGTATTTTCCCTTTGAATGCCTGCTTTTCAGAGATACATATATTGCATAAACCATGGTTGGTTCCAAAGTATGCTGTCGTGTGTGATTAGGAGTGATTAAGAAAGCACAGGAATCCTCTCCTGAAGGCTACGATCATCTGGTTTCCTAGAGAAGTAAAAGAATACTTTCTTGTATAGTGGAGCATTTGAAAGTTAACAAGAAATTGTGTTGTTGTTGATGTTAGTTGCCAGCGAGTTGGCTCCAACCTGTGGCAACCCATGCACAGCAGAATGAAACATTGCCAGTCCTGCACCATCTTCTCGATCCCTAGTATGCTCGAGTCCATTGTTGTGGCCACTGTGTATTTTGAGTGTCTTCCAAGCTAGGAAGCTCATCTTCCAGCTCTGTATCAGACTATATTCTGTGGTGAACCATCGGGTTTTCATTGGCTGATTTTTGGAATTAGATAGGCAGGCCTTTCTTCCTGAAACCTGTCTACAATGGGTGACCCTGCGGGTATTTGAAATACTGGTGGCATAGCTTCCAGCATCACAGTAGTATGATGCCACCATAATATAACAAACTGATAAATGGGTGATGGAAAAGAATTTATAGAGATTTGGGAATTGATATTGTTGTTGTTGTTTTGGGGTATCATCGAGTCTATTCCGACTCATAATGACCCCATGTGATGGAGTAGAACTGCCCCATCGGCCAGGTCTTTCTCCTGTGGAGATGCTGGATGAGCTTGAATTACCAACCTTTTGATTAGCAGCTGAGCGCTTAACCTTTGCACCACCAAGCCTCCTTCATTAGTATTGGAACCTGAAAGTAATCAAATTTCAAAGATCTATTCTACATTACTCATAGCGATGCTATGAGTCGGCATCAACTCGACGGCAACAGGTTTGGGTTTTTTTGGTTAGGTTATTATACATTGTATTTTTTCTTTTTTTTAGTGCTCTAAATAGCAAGCTATTCAGGCTGTAATGACCACTAATATGAATCTATAATATAATTATACTTTGCAGAGAAAAATGTACTCTTGAGCTCAGTGGGTAATCAATGACAAAGTGACCAATTTTTGAAAGATTATTGACCATAGATTAATTTGCATCAGTATGCTATATTATTTTTATTTGCCAAGTGTAGAATGAGTTAACTGTAATTAACAAATCAATTTCTGCAGCAAGAGAACAATCTAATCTTAACTAAAAATCTCAGAGTGGGAAGGAGTGGGACATTAAAAACATTTACTTATGTAAAATAAATACAAAAGCTAATCCCTCAGAGTAAGCCACTGGACTGGTTTTCTTAAACAATAGTTTTTATTGGTTGCCAGATCATTAACTGATCTTTTTAGTGTAAGCCCTGCAAAGTGCTACGTGAAGAATTCTCATCAGTAAGTTTACAAGACACATTGTTCTTTATTAGGCCTTCTTCTGTTGGCCAGCTGAGTTATTGCACACTACATACAACAGCATTCGTTCAACAGATGTTTATTGAGAATCCACTGTGTGTCAGAAAATGTGTTAGGTTCTGGGGGTACATGGTCAATCAACCAGTGAAGTTCCTACTCTCATAGAATTTATTTTCTACTGAATAATATATCATTTTAGTCTTTTCTCGAAGTTTTCCTTAAAAGGAAAGTCTGGAACTTTATCGGGGGGTGGAGGGACGTAAGATGTAAGAAATGTTCAGAAGATCGGCATCCTGCATCCAGGCTTTCTGTAGTCTTATTCAGGTTATTCCTTATTGTTCCCCAAGCAGTAGCAAACCAAAACCTCTGCCAGCCTGCAAATATTTTGATAAACGCACTGTTGTTATCCCCGTTGCATCGTAAAAGAAACAAAATTGGGATCACACTGAAACATCTCTCTGTCTCTCATCACGTCTGCATGTGAATTTATGTGAATGAAAATTATTTAAGGAATAAGGGAACAGCTGCAGTAGACAGTAATAGATTTTAATATTCAGTATTCCTTATGGTATCATTTTCATACATTGCCAGTTATTACTATTTCTTAGGACAGAGTAAGCTTATAAAGCAATTATATAAAAAAAAAATCTTATCGTGAGTGCTGTACTTTCTTTGTAATACTAGTGAGGAGTCTTTGGTACTGACAGGGTTTAACCAAAGAATTATATGAAGACAGAAGCTCAGTTCAGCCTCCCATAAGGCATAAGACATGATTTTGCTGCTGTTGTATATATTACCCCTAGAAGAACTTCTCCCTGCATTACCCAGAGAGCATGTGTAAATTATGTTACAGTAAATATTGATATAAGCATAAGGCATCTTGTTGTCATGAATGAACCTCAAGCCAAAATAATGTGCTTTCATTCTCTCCTTCTGGGTCTATTAGTCAGACGTGCATTCCAGTCTTTGGCAATGTCACAGTGCCATATTTCACTATCCCGTCTTTAAATCAAGGGTCTACGTGCTTAATTTCAAGCTGGAGAAGGTGGGCATTTGCAAAATATATATACATATATATATTTTACACCATTGCATCCTGCCTTTGTCTTCCCTTACATGTGGAAAGTGCTGCATAGTATCTTAATATGTTTTCTTTAAATTAAATACCAACTTTGCTCACCACGTATCGTCTTAAAACCTTGCATTGGACTAATTTGTGTCCCTGTACAGCACATTCAGAATGCTGTCTAGAAGATATTTGTCAGTCTATTTTGCTTGACCTTTCAGGAATCTTTAAACACCACCTCATTCTGGAAACATTTCCTTACCCACGCCGTTGTTCAGCTCCTGGACTCTGGCTCCTTAGTTTCCTCTGAGAGCTCTTCCTTCCTCCCTCCGCTTCCTTTCAGTTGTATTGAGGTAAAATATATATGACACAAAATTTCCATTTTAACTGTTTTTAAGTATACAATTCAGTGACATTAATTACATTCATCCTGTTGTGCAGCTACTTTTTTATCACTCCAAACAGTAATGTTGTACCCATTGATTCTTGACTCCCTCTTCCTCCCAGCCGTTAGTAACCACTAATCTACTTTCTGTCTGTGTACATTTGCCTCTTCAGATATTTCCTATGAGAAAGATCATAAAATGTTTCTCTTTTTATGTCTGACTTAATGTCACGCAGTGTGTTTTCGAGGTTCATTGATATTGTAGCATGTATCAGGACTCATTTATCTTTATGGCTGTATAATATTTTCCTTGTATATGTCAGTCACATTTTATTTATCCATTCATCTGTTGATGAACGTGTGAGTTGTTTCCACCCTCTGACTGTTGTGAATAATGATGCAGTGAACATTGGTGTATAAGTTTCTATTTTGTCTCTGCTTTCCATTTGGGGTGTATACCCAGGAGTCCAGTTGGACCAATAAGCAACATCATGATAAATGGAGAAAAGATTGAAGTTGTCAAGGATTTCATTTTACTTGGCTCCACAATCAATACCCATGGAAGCAGCAGTCAAGAAACCAAAAGATGCATTGCATTGGGCAAATCTGCTGCAAAAGACCTCTTTGAAGTGTTGAAAAGCAAAGATGTCGTTTTGAAACTAAGGCCCTCCTGACCCAAGCCATGGTATTTTCAGTCACATTGTATGCATGCAAAAGCTGAACAGTGAATAAGGAAGACCAAAGAAGAATTGACGCCTTTGAATTGTGGTGTTGGCGAAGAATATTGAATATACTACGGACTGCCAAAAGAACGAACAAATCCACCTCGGAAGAAGTACAGCCAGAATGCTCCTTCGAAGCAAGGATGGCGAGACTACGTCTTACATACTTTGGACCTGTTGTCAGGAGGGATCAGTCCTTGGAGAAGGACATCATGCTTGGTAAAGAACAGGGTCAGCGGAAAAGAGGAAGACCCTCCATGAGATGGATTGATTGCAGATGGCTGCAACAGTGGGCTCAAGCATAACAACAATTGTGGGCATGGCGCAGGACCGGGCAGTGTTTTATTCTGTTGTACACGGGGTTGCTATGAGTCAGAACCAACTCAAGGGCACCTAACAACCACCACCACCACCACCACCCAGGAGTGGAATTGCTAGGTGACATGGTAATTCTGTGTTTAACTCCTGAGGAGCTGCCACACTTCCACAGCAGCTGCACTATTTTACATTACCTGCAGCAGTGTATGAGGGTTCCTTTTTTCTGCCTGTTTTTCTTTTTACTTTTTTATTACTAGTGTTTCTCACAGCTCTTCCTGGGCTGTTTCTTCTTACTCTGCACAAGCTCCCTGGATGACCTGCAGT